AAAAAAAAAAAAAAAAATAGAAAATCTGAGGCAAGATGATTGCTTGAGTTCAAGAGCTAAAGGTTGCTGTGAACCATGACACCACAGCACTCTACTGAGGGTGCCAGAGTGAGACTCTATCTCAAAAGAAAGAAGGCAGACCACCAACAAACAGATGAAAAAATGCTCAATGTCTCTAATTATCAGAGAAATGTATATCAAAACCACAATGAGATACTACTTTACTCCAGTGAGAACTGCTCTTATCAAAAAGTCCCAAAACAGGGGCAGGGCTGAGGCTCAAAAGGGTAGGGCTTCGGCCCCATATGCTGCAGGTGGTGGGTTCAAACCCAGTCCCGGCCAAAAACTGCAAAAAAAAAAAGAAAGTCCCCAAACAAGGCAGCGCCTGTGGCTCAGTGAGTAGAGCACTGACCCTATATACCGAGGGTGATGGGTTCGAACCTGGCCCCAGTCAATCTGCAACAACAAAAAATAGCTGGGTGTTGTGGTGGGTGCCTGTAGTCCCAGCTACTTGGGAGGCTAAGGCAAGAGAATTGCTTATGCCCAGGAGTTAGTTGCTGTGAGCTGTGTGATGCCATGGGCACTCTACCGAGGGCGATAAAGTGAGACTCTGTCTCTACAATAATAATAAAAAAAAAAAGTCCCAAAACAAGAGATACTGGCAAGGATGCAGAAAAAAGAACACTTATACACCATTGGTAGGACTGCAAACTAGTACAACCTCTATGGAAAGTAGTATGGAGATATCTCAAAGAACTAAAAGTAGACCTACCATTTGATCCAGCAATCTGACTTCTTGGTATTTACCCAAAGGGGGGAAAAATTATAAAAAAGACAATTGCACTTGAATGTTTATACAGCATAATTCATAATTGCAAAGATATGGAAACAATCCAAATGCCTATCAACACATGAGTGCATTAACAAAATGTGGTATATGTATACCATGGAGTAATACTCAGCCCTAAAAAAAAAAAAAAGGTGGCTCAGCACCTGTAGCTCAGTGGCTAGGGTGCCAGCCAGCCATCCCCATACGCCAGAGCTGGCAGGTTCGAATCCAGCCCAGGCCTGCCAAACAACAATGACAACTACAACCAAAAGATAGCTGGGCATTATGCCTCATCCCAGCAACTTGGGAGGCTGAGGCAGGAGAATCACTTAAGCCCAGGAGTTGGGAAGTTGCTATGAGTGGTGACATCATGGCACTCTATCCAGGGCAACAGCTTGAGACTCTGTCTAAAAAAAAAAAAAAAAAAGTTGATCTACTATCTTTTGTAACAACCTAGATGGAGCTAAAGACCATTCTTCCTTTAGTCTGTAATATTGATTAAAAAAAAAAAAACATTCTTCTAAGTGAAGTCTTATAAGAATGAAAAAACAAACACCTCATGTTCTCAGTACTAAACTGGAACTAGGTCATCAACACTTAAGCGTACATATGAAAGTAATGCCCAAAACATGCAAATCTATAGAGACAGAATAAAGTAGATTAAGGGTTACCTAGGGCTGGAAAATTGGGGACAAATAATGAACAACTGCTAATAATTATGGGGTTTCTTTTTAGGACAATGAAAATGTTCTGGCTCGGCGCCTATAGCTCAACCGGTTAAGGCGCTAGCCACGTACACCTAAGGTGGCGGGTTCGAATCCCCAGCCCGGACCTGCCAAAACAACGACGGCTGCAACCAAAAAATAGCCGGGCGTTGTGGCCGGCGCCTGTGGTCCCAGCTACTTGGGAGGCGGAGGCAGGAGAATCGCTTGATTGAGCCCAGGAGTTGGAGGTTGCTGTGAGCTGTAATGCCACAGCACTCTACCCAGGGGGACAGCTTGAGGCTCTGTCTCAAAAAAAAAGAAAGTGTTCTAAAATTAACTGTGGTGATGGTTACACAACTCAGTGAATACTAAAAATCATTGAACTGTACATTTTAAGTCAGGGGTATCCAACCTGTGACCCATGGAATGCATGCAGATTATTTGACACCTGTTTTGCTTATCTGTGGAATTAGATATCACAAAAAGTATGCACAGACCTTTTCTTTTGCTCATCACCTTTCATTAGTGTTTGTGTATTTAGTGTGTGGCCCAAAACAACTCTTATTTTTACAATGTGAGAAAGAAAAATAAAAGGTTGGACACCCCTGCTTTAAATGGAAGAATTGTATGGCATGTGAATATTTCAATAAAGCTTGTTATTGTAAAAAAAAAATACATTTATTATTCCAAATTTACATAATTTACACGTACAATATCCTCTTTACCCCTGCTTTATCAGCTCCTACCACCATATCTATAGTTATGTATTATTATTTTTAATTATCTCTCCATGTTCCCCCAAGGTAGAGTTGAACATACTTACTACACACATTCTCAAGGTCTTTTAATTTCCAAGGATTACAAGGTAGCAAAGCCAGATAACTCAACAAACTAAACATGAGCCCACTTACCACTAACTCCATATAATCAAAAACTCTGTTCTGGTTCTGTAATATTTTCTGGTAGTCAGGCTTTGTATTAAGAATTTCACTCTGGGAAGACCCATTGTATGTCACAGATTCCATTCTTGTTTCAGTAGAGCCTCTAAAAACAAAACAAAGCAAAAGAGCTTTGAAGGAATTTTCTGGGAAAGATATCAAAGATTATCTTAGGAAAAAACTTCCTATGAGACTGAATCAGTTTCTTCCACCCTACTCTAGGTATAGAGCAGCTCTCTTATTATTTTTTTTTTTTTTTTTGCCAGGGCTGGGTTTGAACCCGCCATCTCTGGCATATGGGGCCGGCGCCCCACCCTTTTGAGCCACAGGCACGGCCCCGAGTGGCTCTCTTATTAACAAGAGGTTCTGAACAATTATCCGACATTAATGTTTTTATATCTCTGGACTCCAGGAAATGCTGGAAGCTTCAGGTCATTGACTCAATCTAATGTAAGGTCCATATACAAAGACTATTTCTTTCTTTTTTTTTTTTTTGCAGTTTTTTGGCCAGGGCTGGGTTTGAACCCACCACTTCTGGTATATGGGGCACCCTACTCCTTTGAGCTACAGGTGCCACCCTTCTTTTCTTTTCTTTTTTTTTTTTTTGAGAAAGAGTTTCACTATGTCTCCCTGGGTATAGTGCTATGGCATCATAGCTCACAGCAACCTCAAACTCTTAGGCATAAGCAATTCTCTTGCCTCAGTCTCCCAAGTACCTGGGACCAGAAGCACCAGCCACAAGGCCCAGCAAGTTTTTTGTTGTTGTTGCAGTTGTCACTTTTTTTTTTTTTACAGTTTTTGGCTGGGGCTGGGTTTGAATCTGCCACCTCCGGCACATGGGGCCAGCACCCTACTCTTTTGAACCACAGGTGCTGCCCACTTTTTTTTTTTTTTTTTAAGACAGAGTTTTACTTAGTCGCCCTCGGTAGAGTGCCGTTGCATCACAGCTCACAGCAACCTCCAACTGTTGGGTTTAGGCCTTAAGCGATTCTCTTGCCTCAGCCTCCCCAATAGCTGGGACTATAGGCGCCGGCCACAACAACCAGCTATGCAGTTGTCATCTTTGCTTAGCTGGCCTAGGCCAGGTTCAAACCTACTACCCTCAGTGTATGTGGCTGTCGCTGTAACCACTGTGCTACAGGTGGTGAGCCTACAAAAACTATTCTTTTTTTTTTCTTTTAAAGAGACAAGAGTCTCGGTGGTGCCTGTGGCTCAATGGGTAGGGCACCCCCCTCCCCCATATACTGAGGGTGCTGGGTTTGAACCTGGCCTCAGCCAGCTAAAACAGCAGTGGCAACTACAATAAAAATAGCCAGGCGTTGTGGCCGGCATCTGTATTCCCAGCTACTTGGGAGGCTGAGGCAAGAGAATCAGTTAAGCCCAAGAGTTAGAGGTTGCCATGAACTGTGATGCCACAGCTCTCTACTAAGGGGG